ACAGACCAGTAAATAACAGATAACAGTAATGTTGCTTTAACTTTCTATATAGCTATGCACAGCAGTTCTTCTGTATGAAAACAGCAGATATTTCTATGTTATACTTTTATCAGCTTTCCAGTATAGAAAGGATCAACTGTTGTTATTCAATAATACAGCTGTATTGTTGAATTATAAATTGAAGCACTGCAGCTTGCAAGGGACAGGGAGACAATGAGGCATTATACACTGCTCAAAAAAAAAAAGGGAAAACAAAAATAACAGATCCTAGATCTGAATGAATTAAATATTCTTCTGAAATACTTTGTTCTTACATAGTTGAATGTGCTGACAACAAAAACACACACAAATAAAAAAAATGGAAATCAAATTTTTCAACCCATGGAGGTCTGGATTTGGAGTCACACTCAAAATTAAAGTGAAAAAACACACTACAGGCTGATCCAACTTTGATGTAATTAAAGCCTTAAAACAAGTCAAAATGAGGCTCAGTAGTGTGGCCTCCACATGCCTGTATGACCTCCCTACAATGCCTGTGCCTTCTCCTGATTAGGTGGCGGATGGTCTCCTGAGGGATCTCCTCCCAGACCTGGACTAAAGCATCTGCCAACTCCTGGACAGTCTGTGATGCAACGTGACGTTGGTGGATGGAGCGAGACATGATGTCCCAGATGTGCTCAATTGGATTCAGGTCTGGGGAATTGGCGGGCCAATCCATAGCATCAATGCCTTCGTCTTGCAGGAACTGCTGACACACTCCAGCCACATGAGGTCTAGCATTGTCTTGTATTAGGAGGAACCCAGGGCCAACCGCACCAGCATATGGTCTCACAAGGGGTCTGAGGATCTCATCTCGGTACCTAATGGCAGTCAGGCTACCTCTGGCGAGCACATGGAGGCCCCCCAAAGAAATGCTACCCCACACTATTACTGACCCATTGCCAAACTGGTCATGCTGAAGGATGTTGCAGGCAGCAGAACATTCTCCACGGCGTCTCCAGACTCTGTCATGTCTGTCACATGTGCTCAGTGTAAACCTGCTTTCATCTGTGAAGAGCACAGGGCGCCAGTGGCGAATTTGCCAATCTTGGTGTTTTCTGGCAAATGCCAAACGTCCTGCACGGTGTTGGACGTCGGGTCCTCATACCACCCTCATGGAGTCTGTTTCTGACCATTTGAGCAGACAAATGCACATTTGTGGATTGCTGGAGGTCATTTTGCAGGGCTCTGGCAGTGCTCCTCCTGTTCCTCCTTGCACAAAGGCGGAGGTATCGGTCCTGCTGCTGGGTTGTTGGTTGTTACCCTCCTACGGCATCCTCTACGTCTCCTGATGTACTGGCCTGTCTCCTGGTAGCGCCTCCATGCTCTGGATACTACGTTGACAGACACAGCAAACCTTCTTGCCACAACTCGCATTGATGTGCCATCCTGGATGAGCTGCACTACCTGAGCCACTTGTGTGGGTTGTAGACTCCGTCTCATGCTACCACTAGAGTGAAAGCACCGCCAGCATTCAAAAGTGACCAAAACATCAGCCAGGAAGCAGAGGAGCTGAAAAGTGATCTCTGGTCACCACCTTCAGAACCACTCCTTTATTGGGGGTGTCTTGCTAATTGCCTATAATTTCCACCTGTTGTCTATTCCATTTGTACAACAGCATGTAAAATTGATTGTCACTCAGTGTTGCTTCCTAAGTGGACAGTTTGATTTCACAGAAGTGTGATTGACTTGGAGTTACATTGTGTTGTTTAAGTGTTTCCTTTATTTTTTTGAGCAGTGTATATAACAACCCAACTTGCATGATCAATTGTAACCTAACATACAAACTGCATATTAAATGTAGCTGTTAGCTAATGTTTTTTAAAACACAAACATACACACACCAATAGACATTCCAAATATTTAATGTTATGAAAAACATATTTAAATACACATTGTGTAAGTTTTCTTGTAATTGTCCTAATTATAGTTAAATCCCCCCTCTCATAATATTGTAAAACGCTACAGAATCTGTTGGCGCTATATAAATGGCAATAATAATAATACTAATAATAATAATATATTTAAATAGATTTACTGATTTTTTTTGTATTTTATTTTAGGTAAGTCCTGCATCATCTGCTGCAGATCTTAGTGATACCACGCAATTCACTTCGTTTCTGCGCAGTGTTCCAAGTGATGTGTACCAAACAAAAGGGATTGTCAAAATGATAAAAGAATTTCAGTGGAATTGGGTTGCAGTAATTGCAAGCAATGACGATTATGGAACATCTTCTGTTAAATATTTAGATGAATATTTTGGAGACAATGGAATATGCATTGCATTTATAAAATTTGTTCCTTCAAATATTAGAGATCCTAAAATGCAGGAAGCGATAAGTAGTGTAATGGATAATCTTCAAAAGTACACTGCAAATGTAATTGTCATTTTTGCAAAAGATTCTTGCGCCATTAAAATTTTGAAAGAATCCATTATTCATAACATAACCAGAATCTGGATTGCTAGTGATAGCTGGTCTTACTCAAGAGACGTGGCAAACATTCCAGATATTAAAAAGGTTGGAACTATACTTGCAATAAACTTCCTTGGGGAAGTTCTTCCAGATTTTAAAAATTATCTACAATATCTCCAGCCTCACAGAGATCAGGAAAAAAATCTAATTATTCAAGAATTTATAAAGGAACAATCTGTATGCACCAAGGATTTCAAAGGATATCAGAAATGCAATGATTTGTTGTCTAACTGTTCTATTACTGAAGATTCTATAAAACAAAACTTTTCTCAGAGCTGCAGGATAAATAATTCAGCAATCGATGACTATATTAAATGGAGCCAAGTATTCAGCACAAATTTGGCTGTAAAATCCATAGTATATGCTTTGAAAAACATTTTGTGCAAGGATGAAACATGTACAATCGATACAAAGTTTGCACCACAAGAGGTAAGGCAACAATTCAAAAAATAGCTTAAAAAAAAGAAGACACAAATGTGTTCATAAATAAGCACTGGGTTTCACCATTCATTATAGTTAAATGTAACCGGTTAGTGATTGGGCTTTTCTAAGATTCGTGATGCATTTGTGACTGAGTACTTTGGTAGTTTGCTCTGTGGTTTTTCTATTTATTTTTTTATTTTGTGCTTTACCATTAAAAGAACACTCCTATCCCCATAACAACTTACACTGGAAGCCACAATCAGAGTGCACTATAATCCTGGCCCCTCAAACCATTTCTTGTAAATCTTTCTTCTAAAGCTTAGAGCAGAGGTGCCCAAAAGGTAGAGATCCCCAGATCAGTGGCATTGCTAGAGCTTTTCTGCCCGGGGCTGTCCTTGAGTTTGCCGCCCCTATCTCGACCCATGTCATATCCAGTGCATTCGCGGATGTCCGTGTCTGCACCAGACATACCTCTTAAGTACTCAACGTCTCTAGCCCGAACAGTTTACAACTAGAGTTGAGCGGACACCTGGATGTTTGGGTTCGGCGGATTTGGCAGAACTTCGGAAAAAAGTCTGGGTTCGTGCTCGAACTTGACCCCGAATTTGACCCCTCACACGAACCTCATTGAAGTCAATGGGGACCTGAACTTTTGGGCACAAAAATGGCTTGAAAAAAGTCCTGGAAAGGGCTAGGGGGCTGCAAAAGGAAGTAAAATGCGTAAGAGTAGGACAAGTGCCCTGCAAACAAATGTGGATAGGGAAATCACTTAAAATAACATAAAATACATAAAAATTAAAAATACAGCTGAGCCATAAAATAGCACTAGATGGAATCTTTGATTTAAGTTTTGGAAGAACATAAATCAAAATCTAAAGCATGGCTGTCAGGAGGATTACCAGAATTGTCCATTTGAGAGAGGGTTGGAGTGCAGAGTATTCTCTTTCATTGTTCAAACTGAGCTCAACTCCTGATGCATGGGAAAAAAGGCCTTCACAAGCCTCTGCTAATGTGTACATAGTTTATACTAAGTGACCCATAGATGAGGAGGTGGTGACCGTGGCGGTGTAGGTGGAAGCGGCGGTGGAGGAGGAGGAGGTAGCCAGCACTGTTTTTTATTTATTTATTTATTTATTTTAATTGGGGTAGCCCCCAAAATATTGGGACATATAAAAAACAAAAGAAACATTTGCGGCCTGCGGTGCATTTCTTGCAGTCCAATAACGCCATCAGGTTTTTAAAACTGTCCATCTGCACCAGACAGAATGACAGCATTTCAAAGGCCAGGACTTTTGAAATGCTGGCATTCAGGGTCAGGGTTCGCGGGTGGGTAGAGGGGTACTTCCTCTTTTTCTCCAGTGTTTGGTAGATGGACAGCTGAATGCTTCCATGGGACAGTGTGGAGATGCTGGACAAATGTGTACCTGGCCTATGCTGGTGCAGGAACCCACCCTCCGAGCCACTTGTGAATGACTGGCCTGATAACCGTGGAAATTACCCCTCTTCCTCCTCCTCTTTCTCCTGTGCCACATCCTCTTCCATCATCGCCCAAGGCATTTTTTTTTTTAAGGAGACATAGAAGTGGGATAGTAAGGCTGAGAACGGCGTCAATGGCACTGGCCATGTTGGTGGAGTCCTCAAAACTGCGCAACATGGCACACAGGTCTTGCATGGAGGCCCACTCATTGGTGATGAAGTGGTGCTGTTCCGCAGAGCGACTGACCCGTGCATGCTGCAGTCGAAACTCCGCTATTGCCTGCTGCTGCTCGCACAGTCTCTCCAGCATGTGCAAGGTGGAGTACCAACTTGTGTGCACGTCGCATATGAGGCGGTGAGCGGGAAGGCTGAAGTTACGCTGCAGCGCAGAGAGGCGAGCAGCAGCAGGGTGAGAATGCCAAAAGCGTGCACAGACGGCCCGCACTTTCTGCAGCAGCTCTTATATATCTGGGTATACACTGTGGCGGTGTAGGTGGAAGCGGCGGCGGTGTAGGAGGAAGATAAAAAAAAGAATAAGTGCACTTGAGTATAACAATGGCTGAGTGAGACCGGTATAAATGTCTATTCTGCACAAGGTACAGACAAGTCTGGTGGGATCCATGCCTGGTTCATTTTAATAAACGTGAGCTTGTCGTTAGCCGTGGACAGGTGTGATAACCTCGTGCCGATCGCACATCCCCGTGACGGCGACAACGCATTTGGATCTCTGCCCTATCAACTTTCAATCCTATTTTCCGTGCCTACCATGGTGACCACGGGTAATGGGGAATCAGGGTTCAATTCCAGAGAGGGAGCCTGAGAAAAGGCTACCACATGCAAGGAAGGCAGCAGTGATGACAAATAATAATACACTACTCTTTCAAGGCCCTGTAATTGTAATGAGTCCACTTTAAATCCTTTAAATTGGATCAATTGGAGGGCAAGTCTGGTGCAGAGCGAATGACCAGTGCGTGCTGCAGCTGAAACTCCACTATCGTCTGCTGCTGCTCGCTGAAGCTGCATCAGGGTCCTGGTATGTGGCCGCACAAACGCTGGTGCTCAACACCAGGGGGCGTGCGGTTACTCTGCACCAGACCCTGCTAATCCATTCCACACTGTGACTCCTAACTTCAACATCAGGCATACTGTGCCCCGGTTGGACGACCGCCGCTTAGACAGTGTCTGGGTCCTTGTCACCGGACCGTCCCCCAGACTGTAAAACTGCGAATGACTCATTAAATCTGTTATGGTTCCTTTTATCGCTGCATCTGTTACTTGGATAACTGTGGGAATTCTAAAGATAATACATGCCGACGAGCGCTACGGGACGGGCACCAACGAGCACCCTGCTCCCTCTTATGCTGTGCTGGTGCCTCTGTGCGACCAGCGCCTCTTCCTCCAAACTGCACACGTCACTCACATGATCTTCATTCCACGTTGTTTTGGTGTTTGGTTTTTAACTTTGTAGTTGTGTCTTTACACAATATAGAAAATGTAAATTAATGCTTCTGTATATGAAGCGATCACAATAACACTTATTTTTCACTTTTTTAAAAAGTCTTTAGACTTTCTTGAGAAGCGGTAACTAGCCAGTATTGCACACATACACCAGATATATAGTGCAGGCACCAAATTGACTTTTTAGCACCTAAAGAATTTGATTGTTTAAAAATACGCTGTAACCACAGTATTTGACGGTTCTATTTGACTCTAAGATATGAAGTGCACGCCCCAAATTGACTTTTAGCACCTAAAGAATTAGAATTTTTAAAACTGCAATGTAAGCACAGTATTTGTCGGTTCTATTTGACTCTCAGAAATGAAGTGCAGGCACCAAATTTACTTTTTAGCACCTAAAGAATTTGATTGTTTAAAAATACGCTGTAACCACAGTATTTGACGGTTCTATTTGACTCTAAGATATGAAGTGCACGCCCCAAATTGACTTTTAGCACCTAAAGAATTAGAATTTTTAAAACTGCAATGTAAGCACAGTATTTGTCGGTTCTATTTGACTCTCAGAAATGAAGTGCAGGCACCAAATTTACTTTTTAGCACCTAAAGAATTTGATTGTTTAAAAATACGCTGTAACCACAGTATTTGACGGTTCTATTTGACTCTCAGATATAAAGTGCATGCCCCAAATTGACTTTTAGCACCTAAAGAATTAGAATTTTTAAAACTGCAATGTAAGCACAGTATTTGTCGGTTCTATTTGACTCTCAGAAATGAAGTGCAGGCACCAAATTTACTTTTTAGCACCTAAAGAATTTGATTGTTTAAAAATACGCTGTAACCACAGTATTTGACGGTTCTATTTGACTCTCAGATATAAAGTGCATGCCCCAAATTGACTTTTTTAGCGCCTAAAGAATTGGAGTGTTTAAAACTGCAATGTAAGCACAGTATTTGACGGTTCTACTTGACACTCAAATATGAAGTGCACATACCAAATGTACTATTTAGCACCAAAACAATTTGAATGTTTAAAAATGCACTGTAACCTCAGTATTTAACGGCTCTATTTGACTCTCACATATGAAGTGCACCGCATGCCGCAAATGTACTATTAAGCAGCAAAGAAATGTGAATTTTTCAAACTGCGCTGTAAGCACAGTATTTGACGGTTCTATTTGACTCTAAGATATGAAGTGCACGCCCCAAATTTACTTTTTAGCACCTAGAGAATTTGAATGTTTAAAACTGCAATGTAAGCACGTATTTGATGGTTCTATTTGACTCTCAGATATGAAGTGCACCGCAGGTCACAAATGTTCTATTTAGCAGATATGAAGTGCAGGCACCAAATTGACTTTCTAAAGAATTAGAATTTTTTAAACTGCGCTGTAAGCACAGTATTTGACGGTTCTATTTGACACTCAAATATGAAGTGCACATACCAAATGTAATATTTAGCACCAAAACAATTTTAATGTTTAAAAATGCACTGTAACCACAGTATTTAATGGCTCTATTTGACTCTCAGATATGAAGTGCACTGCAGGCCGCAAATGTACTATTTAGCAGGAAAAAAATGAGAATTTTTCAAACTGCGCTGTAAGCACAGTATTTGACGGTTCTATTTGACTCTAAGATATGAAATTCCAGCCCCAAATGTACTTTTTAGCACCTAAAGAATTTAAATGTTTAAAACTGCAATGTAAGCACGTATTTGATGGTTCTATTTGACTCTCAGATATGAAATGCAGGCACCAAATTTACTTTTTAGCACCTAAAGATTTTGAATTTTTAAAACTGCAATGTAAGCACAGTATTTGACAGTTCTATTTGACTCTCAGATATGAAGTGCAGGCACCAAATTTACTTTTTAGCACCTAAAGAATTAGGATTTTTAAAACTGCGCTGTAACCACAGTATTTTACGGCTCTATTTGACTCTCAGATATGAAGTGCACCACAGGCCGCAAAAGTACTATTTAGCAGATATGAAGTGCAGGCACCAAATTTACTTTTTAGCACCTAAAAAAATTAGATTTTTTAAAACTGTGCTGTAAGGTTTTATTTGACTCTCAGATATGAAGTGCATGCACCGAATTGACTTTTTAGCAGCTAAAGAATTAGAATTTTTAAAACTGCGCTGTAAACGCAGTATTTGACGGTTCTATTTGACTCTCAGATATAAAGTGCAGGCCCCAAATGTATAATTTAGCAACTAAAGAATTGGAATGTTTAAAACTGCAATGTAAGCACAGTATTTGACGGTTCTATTTGACTCTTAGATATGAAGTGCAGACACCAAATTTACTTTTTAGCAGCTAAAGAATTTGAATGTTTAAAACTGCTATGTCACAGCAGTATTTGATGGTTCTATTTGACTCTCAGATATGAAGTGCACCGCAGGTCACAAATGTACTATTTAGCAGATATGAAGTGCAGGCACCAAATTGACTTTCTAAAGAATTAAAAAAAATTTAAACTGCGCTGTAAACACAGTATTTGACGGTTCTATTTGACTCTCAGATATGAAGTGCAGGCCCCAAATTGACTTTTTAGCACCTAAAGAATTCGAATGTTTAAAACTGCTATGTCACAGTAGTATTTGACGGTTCTATTTGACTCTCAGATATAAAGTGCACCACAGGTCACAAATGTACTATTTAGCAGCAAAAAAAATTTAATGTTTAAAACTGCTATGTCACAGCAGTATTTGATGGTTCTATTTGACTCTCAGATATGAAGTGCAGGCACCAAATTTACTTTTTAGCACCTAAAGAATTAAAAATTTTAAAACTGCGCTGTAAGCACAGTATTTGACGGTTCTATTTGACTCTCAAATATGAAGTGCACACACCAAATGTACTATTTAGCACCAAAACAATTTGAATGTTTAAAACTGCAATGTAAACACAGTATTTGATGGTTCTATTTGACTCTCAGATATGAAGTGCAGGCACCAAATTTACTTTTTAGCACCTAAAGAATTCGAATGTTTAAAACTGCTATGTCACAGCAGTATTTGACTCTCAGATGTGGTCACAAATGTACTATTTAGCAGCAAAAAAATTTGAATGTTTAAAACTGCTATGTCACAGCAGTATTTGATGGTTCTATTTGACTCTCAGATATGAAGTGCAGGCACCACATTTACTTTTTAGCACCTAAAGAATTAGAATTTTTAAAACTGCGCTGTAAGCACAGTATTTGACGGTTCTATTTGATTCTCAAATATGAAGTGCACACACCAAATGTACTATTTAGCACCAAAACAATTTGAAACCTGGCAGCAGTGGCTGTGCACCCTGGTGGGTCAAAAACCCTCCTGGGCATCTCTAAAAAGGCTGGATCATCATAGATGATAGGAAGATTATTTTTCCAGAAAGGGTTAGCCCAAGTAAATGCTAGTAGTAGATGTTGTAGCATGGGAAAGCCTATAAAAGAGCCCTCCATGGGTAAAGATGAATTATTTTTAGTTGCAGTGTGTGTCTTGTTTTTTGTCTGTGCTTTTTTTGTGATTTAGCTTATTTTTCAAATTATCATTTGCTTTCAGATTGCCAGGGAATTATAATTTGCAAACGTGAATCCTACTGGATGCATTCATTTTATTATTGGCCCCCATGCAGTCATTGATAAATCTCACATTTCCGTTGTTATAGATTGATTCAATTTCAGAACAAATGTTACAGAATCGGTCATACCGACCGAATCCTGACCGCAGTTGGCTTTAGTAAACATGAGAATTGCCAATGTGGTCAGAAATAGGTAATTATTTACTGGATATTGTACATTCGGACAAAATCAGGTGTTTAGTGAAAAATCCTGAATATTTCTTAAAAGGTTTATTTATATATATTTTACTTTGATATTATGCTTTACATGTTTAATATATTATAATATTATTTGTTTTAATTATTTTTTTCTTCCTTTGTAGTTGGTCAATGAAATTAAAAAAGTCAAGTTCCCCTTTTTTGGACATATGTTTAAATTTGATAAAACTGGTGACTTTGTGAATGACTATGAAATTATAAATTGGTATTTCGATGACAATGGTGCATCATTCAAAATAATTGGATATTATGATTTTATTAACAATAATCTTACACTAAATTATAGTCTCATCATGTGGAACACAGAAAACAACACGGTATGTAACAGAATTTATACAAATGTACATATGATTATGCAAAATGTGCAGTTGCCAACAGCCACATTAGTAAATAGTAAACAGATCAAATAAAGCAAATGTAAATCCAATGGTTTTCAATAAAACCCACATATTGCTTTAGTGGAGGTTGAAAATCTCTATATGCCTTTACTTGCTGCCACTAAAACAGGTGCACTTTATACAGAAAATATCTAACAATTTGGAGGAGACTCACCATTTTATCTTCAA